CAGCTTGTGGCGAGTATTGAGTCGAGGAGCCTTCTTCATCGTCTCTCGTGTGATATACTCATTAGAGCGGATAGAGCACCAAACGGTCGTACGCGAGACTGATAAACCCCTCAGAGCTTGGATCTGACTCACAGGCAAAGAAGTAGTCACCACAAGACGGGCTATTCTCCTGCTGCCTTGAGCAGACAAAATACGTGGACGGCCAGGAATAGGCTGTGAGCGATAGCTATAGGGTTTCCAATAAATCTAGCAATGCATGAAAAAGAACGGGTGTGCACATACTTTTGAAACGCACTGTAAGTGCACACCTTAATGTAGACTTGCTGAGCCAATCTTGAGAGTGCCCCTAACCGTCGACACAACCTTTTCTCCTTCTCCACTGTATGTGGGTGATTGAGCCTAGCCCCCATCGTAACACACATATCTTCTGCTGAACAGCAGATGGAGAGGAACACTTGGGATTGGCATCTACCGAATCTTTCTGAGATTCGTCTAGTGGGCTCTTCAATAATGTGAGATCTGCGTCACGTTCAGGTATTTCAACTCCCGCCAAGAATTTGTCCTCCGCATTATGCAAGCCTTTTCTCAGGAATCATCTCCTTCGATCACGCTTATTCCGAGCTAGTGCAACTCTGCCCAGATTGAAGTCATGCAACTAGAGTAGTCGAAATCTATAATTGGCCATAGTTTCAACGATGGCCGTAGAAAAGCAGTTCCTCAGAGCCATCCCAAATTTCCAGACGACTGAAAACAAGCAAAACTTTCCCCTTAATAAGTATCACTTCACCTCAAAACTCGAAGAGAGGAATGTAAAACGCGAAAAACAAATAAGTACAAACGGGCAGCACCTAGCTGACCGACCTAGGGTAAGCCTAGGAATAGGAGAAGCCTATTCTGCTTACCTGAGTCCTATGGTACATACTAAAGACATAACACTGAAAAGAGTACCATATAAACTGAATATTTATTTTATAACACAAAAGACATAGGATTTACATATACCCGTAAATAAACGCTACTCGTATACGACTTAAATCTAAATATGGGCCTACCTACAAATCTGAAATACACATAGCATGAACATTTTGCTGTAAACATAAATCAATTTACATCGAAATGAAAAAAATTCGATCGATAAACAGGCAGGGCACATAGAAATAGTTGGCAGTTGGTTCTAAGTGAGCCTAGGGAAAAATATAACGGCAGAATCTTATTCAGGAAGGTAACAGACTGAAATACACACCACACAGCACACAAGAGGATACCATGTTACTGCTAAATATCATAATTTTGTACGAAATATCATCTACCCTTACTCCTATACTTGATACACTGCAAGAAAAGGTTTTCACCTCCGAAGAGCTGCGGTTTGGCCGATGAGGCTAACTTAATCTCGGTTCTATTGAAGCCGACGGTCAAATTACTTCTTTCTATCAACAGTAGACCAATTCAAAGGTCTAGGAATAGATATCAGAGGACAGCTCAATCCTTCGAGCAGAGCAGTTTTGTTAATGTCCGCGCTGGTTGCTGTTGTACCATATCAACTGGATAAACTAATAGTACCGTACAGCACGGTAAGGTATTGAAACTTCGAAAAGAATCAGAGTCTCAGATCTTCAGTATAACGACCCGGCTTGAAGAATATGTCGGAAGCGATAGAAGAGCACCGAGGTCTCCACTTTCCGCTAATACGGCTATCAGAGCTTAATGTTGTCGTCATGCTGGCATCGTCTTTGTATACATCCACCACACTATCCTGTGCATGACGGCGTGCCGAAAAGATGGTGTCAAAGTGATAGATGTTTTTCGATTCCATAATCCATAGTAGTGCACCAACGACGAGGCATAGAATTGCTAAAAAAACAACCTCATGAATGATTGTCGGGTTTTTTTCGAAGCGTGAAGTTCCTTGGCTTGTCTAGGTGCGTTCGATAAAAGCTGTGCCAATCGATGCGAGCAAATGACAAATACAACAAAGACGACAAACAAACGGACAAAATTAAAAAGCAAAAACAAAAAAAAAACGATTAGTGAGCATTTGAAATTGCTGGTTCCTGCGATACGGTAAACTGCCTGTGGTCCCTAAATATTACGCAATACAGCGCTGAGTTCATCCCAATACTCCATTCCCAGTACCCTACGAAGGGTCAAATACATGGCTGGTTCCTGGTGGCCTCGAGCCTCTTTCATTTCACTGTATCTGTGATTACTGGATTGAGAAATCCTTGGCCCCCAAGACTGTCTTCGAAAAACTCGCCACCTAGTAAGAAAAACGCGTTTCAGGGTAAAAAACGCGACTCGTCACAAGCAAAAAACTCGTTAGCAAGTGGAAATAGTGAAACAATTTGGACAAAAAAAAGTAAAAACAAAACCCCTGTTAACAAAAAAGGGGTCGTCTGCCATAACCATGTGAGTGGTGCTGTCCTACAGAATGTGTGCAGTATTAAGTACATTGAGGAAACGGACGACATGGCGAGGAGAACGTTAGCGGTGTAGTTAAGCTGCACACGAACAACAAATGAAACAAAATCAATTTAAATAACCTATTACAGTACGAACTCGCGAAATAGAACACGTAACAAAAAGCAAGACAGACAAGACAATAACTGTACGAGACAACAAACAAAAACACAAACAGGTAAACATTGAATTAAAAAAGAATTGCATAAGCGAAAGCGTGTCAGTTTCTATTGTTCTACACTGATCTATGAGCTAAACTGAAACCCGAAGGATGGGCACGCTCTAGAGAAAGCGACATCATCCTTTATGCGCAATTTTGTTAATAGCGAACAGATTTGCAGCTTACCCCTATCAACAGGCAGTGTAAGTGTTATGATAACTGAGCTGGCAAACTTACCGGCTAGACAAGTGGCGTGGAAGCAAATTGATAAACGGAACTTCAACAACGTGTCACCATGCTGCGCCGGAAATTGAATATACATATGGCGTGGAATATTGGCCACGAAGATGATGTCACCTGAACTAGGAATCTACTTGCGATATATGTAGTTATTTTAACTATAGCTATCTGTAAATAGTTATTATATCTTAACCACCAAATCACTTGAGTAACATTTTCAAACCCCAGAAAAATCGAAAAAAAAATCTCAGAATAGTTGAGACGCTATCTATTCAATGAGCAAATGGCTTAGAAAGTCTTAAAAAATCCAAAAAATAACATAGAAAGAAAATGAATGAAAAGTTTAGAAAATTTAAAAAAAAATAATTGAATAAATTACTACAAACAGCTACATCACAACAAAGAAATGAGGAACGAATAATAATTGGCTCAGAAATTTCATGTCTGGGTGCTAACTCTGCCCGTGGTGAAGCTCCTAAAGTCCTCTCTCACTATTAGTCCTGAACCATTCTAACGTGAGTAAATTTACGGCTCCTGTGATAGTATCGATGGCTATAGAGCATTCCATATTGGCCGCTGGGGCGATTCTTCAAAATCTCATCCCTCCACCCGTCCCCAACCTCTTAGGATCAGATGGGTTCCAGTGCCAGTTTCGCTGATGTGAAATCGACCATAGGTGAACAATGCAGATTGATTGCAGAGGGTTTATTTATGACCAACATTCATAAGTCACCTCCCATCAGCGGTACAGAAATCGGATTAATATTCTAATATTAA